GTTTTGTTCTAGGTGTGAAGTTTTTTGCATGTGGCTTAAAAGAAATTAACTTCCGTTTCACTTGTTAATTTTTACTTTCTCTGGCAGAGGGAAGTAAAGAGCAGGGCCAGTGGGTGGAGAAAAAGGAGTTTAGGACTAGTGCTATAATCTTATGCAAACCACTTCACTTTGGGTCAGGAGAGTGTGTGTGTTGTACCAGGGAATTGCTTGAAGTGATCTCTAAATTTTGTTCTGGTTTTCAAGCGAGTGTTCTGGTTTTTAGGCGTGTGTGCGCGCGCGTGTGTGTAGTAGGAGGCAATTGCTTGAAGTGATTTCTCTAAATTTTGTTTTCATCTTCTGGCAAGTGTTCTGGTTTTCAAACGTGTGTGTGTTATAGTAGGAGGGAATTCCTTGAAGTGATCTCTGAATTTTGCTCTGGTTTTCAAGCTAGTGATTCTGTGATTTTACATTGGGTTAAGATTCTTGAGATAACAGTAAAGCCATCTGTGCTGATGTGAGTGAAATTTTTCTTTGGCCAAATTTTAGCTTTTTTTAAATAGAAGCCAAGGGTCCAAGTTTGGTTCCTTGTAACTTTTATCAAGTAAAGAAAAGAACGTCTAGGATGGGGTGCTATCTCCTTGCCCTCCCACTCTTTGCTCTCTGTAGAGTGTGCATGAGCCTGAAGCATTTTTATGGCCGTTTTAACTGGAGTTGAAATTGACTCCATACCAATAGCTGCAGAGTAGAGTTTTTATCTGAGTGTATTTCTAATACTGTGGCTCTTCCTGCAGCCACGCCGTCACTCGTCCGGAGGAGCCTCCTCCTGTGGACCAGTTTGCAAGCCTGTGCCCTGCACGGCGGCTCCCCCGGGGGCTCCCCTGGGACGCCTGCGGGGCTGTGTGCTGGAGCGGGGGGAGGTGGACGGAGCGCGGCGTTCGGGCCCTCTTGAGAGGTTCGGGCCTTACAAGCAAGGCTTTGATTCTATTTTTTGCCGAACGAGCTCAGCCACTTCCTGTGTTTGGCAGCGCCTAGCGCCTCGCTGCACTGCGGCCACTCGAGCCACGAGCCTGCGAGCCGCGCTGCCGCCGCGGCCGCTGGAGGACCGATTTTAGGCCCCCCGACAATGGCCTTCTCACGTCCTCGGCGAGAGGGAGGAGGAGGAGGACCCGGGCTGGCACCGGCCACTTGTTAGCCGATGATGACAACTTGGACTTGGGCTCCCCTCCCCCACCCGAAATCCCTAGCTCAGCAAATATTTGAACCTGCCCAAGTTAATCATGAAGCCGCGATCTTTATCTGAGAGGGACGTGCGAGCGCCCCGGCTCCTTCTCTCGCCGGCGCAGCCCCGGTCCCGGGCGGCCGGCCTCTGCACGGGCTGCGGGCGCTGAGTGGCGCTGCCGCGGGGGACGAGTCCCAGGGTCCGGCGCCGCCGGGCAGGAGGAGTCGGTTTGGGGATTTTTTTTTTTTTTCCATTGTCGGATACAAGCATTTCCAAGGGAAACCGTTGAAATGCATAACCTGCAAAGTAAGTTGCCTTTCATTTGTGCACTGTTCTGCCCTTGGCTTTTGCACTGTTTTTTGGGGGACTCTTGGAAGATTCATTTCTCCAGTTCGTGTGTGTGTGTGTGTGTGTGTGTGTGTGTGTCCGTCCCAGGGAGAGGGACTCTTGGAAGATTCATTTCTCCAGTTCGTGTGTGTGTGTGTGTGTGTGTGTGTGTGTGTGTGTCCGTCCCAGGGAGAGGGATAGTAAGCACTGCCTGAGGAGGGCAGATGAGAGATTAGGGGAACCACTCCCCCATTTCCTTGGGCACAGTGCGAGGGAAAGATGGGGCTCCAGTTGGAAATGGGCAGGGAAGATAATTACCAAGTGCTGGTCTGGAAGTGGGGTCTGGCCAGGCCTGGGAGAGACGTGGACAGTCACCTGTCTCCCTGCCCTCCGCCCGGCTCTGTTTGCCCCCTGGGCTCCAGCGGCAGGACCGGTTTGCACCAAGTGTGCCCAAAGGCACGGGGTGGGGGGAGCCCTTGGGGCTGCCGCCCTGTCCGTAGCTGCTGGGAGGACTTGGGTCAACGTTTTTGTTAAACTCGGAATTTTTTTTTTCCTGAATCCTTTCTGAGGGCTTATCCTCCCCCCGGCCCCCACCACCACTTTTACCATTTTACCGTTTGTCTTTGCGTTTCTGGTTACTTCAAGCTTTAGGCAAAGAGCATGTGAGTGAGAGAGAGTGGGAGGGTGTAGGATGCATCTGCCTCCTCCTCAGTGGGAAAATGAAATAAGCTGGAAGAGGGACACGTGAGCAGTGCTCAGAGACTGCCTTGCTTTGCTATTTCTATATATTTTAGGATTCCAAATTTGACAGAACTTCTAAGAATAAATTTCAAGGGCTTCTGTGTGCTTTAAATTGTCACAGAAATATGTGACAGGCACACGTACGCAGATCACACAGCCCACTATAGTTTTTTAAATTAGCTACATTTACATGGGTGAGGGAAACCTTTTCTCCCTTCCTCCCTGCTCATTATAGAAGAACTAATATTTAGATTTATAGGGGAGTTTATTTCTTTACATTTAATACTGCTAAGAAGGAATAATATTTCTTCCCAAAGTGAGGCATTTGAGATGGAAGGGGAAAAAAAGGTACCCCGTCCAAGTGATTACATCACCCACCCCCTCAAGCAGTATTTAGCACAGTAAGTCTGAAGATGGGCTCATCAGTGAGAAATACTTTGCAAAGATAACTCTGCCTGTACTCTGCATTCTGATATATGGCCTGTCTTTTTTTTTTTGGTGGGGGGAGTGCATTCCATATTCTATAAAGTCTAGCTTCAGCTGCAGTGTTTAATAGAGATTTTTGCCTCTACATTTTCTTTTAATTGTGCTTTCTAATGTAGTAGATTTGTGACAGTGTATAAGTTCTGAGTGTGCAGTGAATTATGGAGGACTGAAATGAAATATCCAGAGAGTTCTTGATCCTTCTTGCTCTTAATATATATCAGAGGCATTTTAGGACTGTAAAACATATCTTAAGTATACCATTTGGATGCCTTTGTAAGATTTTTAAACCAAGAAATGATCAGGCTATCTATAAACCCAGATGCACTAGGGGGAGGGGGGTAGAAAAAGCTACGTGCTGCTGCATATCAGCTTTTGTCAGCCTTCCAACAGTGGAGCATACCATGCTGCAAGGAGCAATAAAAAAGGAATTAGAAAACTCACGGCTCAAGAAGAACAGTCAGATTAAACACCTTTTTGAAACGAACAGCGTTTACACATTGCAGCTCTGTCAAATGTAGGATCTTCCTGAGGTCGGGGCTGTGTTAAGGCTGGTAGGGAAGAGAAATGATGAAGCAGGAGTGGTCTGGTGACATTTTTGTGACTTGATTGGCTGGGGTGTGTGATGTCATAGGTTACAGTGCAGCCCCTTATAGGTTTTAAAATGAATTCCAAGACACCATTACAAAGAAAGCCGGACTCTTTTCTTATAACTGAGCTCAGCCAAGGAAACTCTCGCACAAATGTACAACACTGTTTGGAATATGGAAGACCTGGATTTAGAATATGCTAAGACAGATATAAATTGTGGCACAGACTTGATGTTTTATATAGAAATGGACCCACCAGGTAATACTGCAGTATTCTTTAGAGAACTGGTTAATGTTGTGGCATTTAATTTTTTTGACAACTGCTATTAACAGCTCCTCTTTGGATGTCTGTTTTTATTAATTTGTTCTAATTTAATAAGCATGAGTTTGCTCACAGTGTGAAAATGAAACAAATGGTTTGACTGCCTGTGGAAGCAAGCAGGTCAGGCTGTGTTGGGTAAATGCTTATTCTTAGTTGAATGGGTATAAATTGGATTCCAGTTTTTCACCTGTGTCTTTTGTTACTCGAGCTCGTTTGCTGTTTGGGTTATATTGTATATCGTTCCTTTATTAAAAGGCTGCATCCTTGGTGCTTCTTTTCTGACAGTGGTTGAAAACAGTGTGGCACTTTGCAGTGATAACACTCGGTACTTTAGAAAGCATGTCAAATGTAGCAGTGATTGCAACTCAGTTCTTGGTGCCCTGAAACTATTCTGAATCAAATGTTGAGACTTTGTCTGCTCTCTCTTAAGATACTGCAGTGAGAGAAGTTAGCTTTCCATTATTGAGTCTCAGGCTTTATAAGATTACCTGCTAGACTCCTGAAATAATTTTTGCTTAAAATGTTTAACAGTGGTGCTTTAAAACTTATGACTTAGAATTTAGCAAGATATCCTCGACTTATTTTACTTTCTCTTATTTCAGCCTTCCTCCCAATTAGGAAATTCAGAAATACTGCAGTCTTTATTTGTCATCAGTTGATATATGAATACTGATTTGACATTGAGGAAGAGGGGATATGGTTTTTAATCAGTCTTGGCATAATATAGAGCATAGTTATCCAATAGAATATTAACATGAATACTAAAGAGATTGAGGTCACAGAGGAGTCTCTTCAGCTGGCATTTGGCAGAACAGTGGCTGAAATACTAAGATTAGAGAAACCCAATTCCTCCTCTTAAAACATATTGCTGTGTAGATGAGCTTTTTTATTACCGCACCGGCATTTGTGGAGGACAGAAAGGAAATTTGTCTTTTATAATTAAATAAGAGGAGGAAATTAAAACTAAGCCATGTGATTCCTCCTGCTGCTCTGTTCTTGGTTTCTTACTTTAGATAGATTTGACCAGATATGAAACTTTAATACAACTCAAACCTAAAAGTAGATGTCATGACTCTGGATTTACTTTGAAATTCATTTATATGGCCAGCCCATTTTATTTGCTAGTCTCTAAGCTCTTTTTTAAAATTTTAATCTGTAGTCAAAGATTTCTGATTTTTTTAAAAAAAGAAAGTTTCATGGACTTGTACATTACTGCTGTGTTTCATAGCTAATCTTTTCTACATGAAAATGTTATTCATCTAAAGGAACTTGGGTAGAATTTTAAATGTTTATTTGCAGTTGGGATTGCAAAAACTTTTTCTTTCCCCTCCATCTACAGCACTGCCTCCCAAACCACCAAAACCCACTACTGTAGCCAACAACGGTATGAATAACAATATGTCTTTACAAGATGCTGAATGGTACTGGGGAGATATCTCGAGGTAAGGCTATAGAGACTCCTGAGTTTTTCAGCAGAGCTGGGGAGTTTAGATGAAGAGAAAGAAAAGCAAAAGCACCAGCTTGCTAAATTCCATTTTTAGGATATCATCCAACATAAGCATGAAGCATAGTTGGTTCCCTTCCAGAGACGACCATAGAAGTCACTGAGCTCTGGGGAGCTGTGGGTGCTGGATGCCGCAGGAAATTAAATACCCGAGAAGTTTCATTATTGACAGAGATGTCAGGGAGGCAGCAGGGTGAAGCGGCACTGCCTCGAGGCAGAATGTAAAGTCACTCTCTTTATTAGACAAAAACTCTCAGAATTAACGTTAAACGTAATGAAGTGGCATTTTTAGTCTTAAGCTTTTTTTTTTTTTGAGGGGAGTAAAGAGGAAACCTTTTGGGGATCATGATTTTCTGTGCTGATTTGTTCAGAGTGACTGGGGTGTTAATTCTGAAAATGCCTTTAAAAAACATGAGAACCATCAAATCTTCGAGGTGAGCAGTGTCTCATGTCCTTTTCACTTCAGGGAAGAAGTGAATGAAAAACTTCGAGATACAGCTGACGGGACCTTTTTGGTACGAGACGCATCTACTAAAATGCACGGGGATTACACTCTTACACTAAGGTGAGTTGGGGCACGTGGCTAAAATTGGCGTGTTCAAGGTGATAGTAGAACATACTGGGTATTTTTAAAGAGAATTCTAATGCCATTATTTTTATACTGCATTTGCAGGAAAGGAGGAAATAACAAATTAATCAAAATATTTCACCGAGATGGGAAATATGGCTTCTCTGACCCATTAACCTTCAACTCTGTGGTTGAACTAATAAACCACTACCGGAATGAATCTCTAGCTCAGTATAATCCCAAACTGGATGTGAAATTACTTTATCCAGTATCCAAATACCAACAGGTAATCACATACCCATGTTATTATAATATTTGAAAAAGATTCTTTTAATGCTTAGAAAATATTTTGAGGCAGATGAATTCCGTCCATGTCATTAAACTCAAAAAACTTTCAAACTGTAATTTTGTGATCACAAGTGTATAAAATACTTTAACAACAAAATACTGTAACGAAATATCTGATGTGGGAAAATCCTCCAACAATGGTCATTTAAAAGTACCTTATCAACTGAATTTATTTTTCCCTTTTTCTTCCAATCTCTATAATCCTTCTAGGATCAAGTTGTCAAAGAAGATAATATTGAAGCTGTAGGGAAAAAATTACATGAATATAACACTCAGTTTCAAGAAAAAAGTCGGGAATATGATAGATTATATGAAGACTATACCCGAACTTCCCAGGTGAGTCTTCTGTGAAAATCACATTACATCTGTAGAGTTCTTAATTATTAGAATCAAGTGCATGTTATATTCAGCTTCAAAAAAAAGACTGTAAAGTGTTTTTTTCTGGCAATACAGGAGAGAGATCATTTATTTGTGAATCATTGTTGATTATTCTAGTACTTATTTACTATATCTCTAAACCTTTTAAATGAAGCCTGTGTCAGGCTAATAAATTAAGTTGGTTTGACATAATTGCTGATTGCAGAATTCTCTTTAGCGTAAAAGCTAATAATAACTGGAAGTTCTACAGACTTGTGTAATCTCTGAAATGGGGATTTAACCATGATAGGTAGGTCCTGCTGCAGTGAAAGGTTGAGGCTACATTTACTGCCTTGTTTTCCTAGAGGCTTAATCTCCTCTAGGCCATCACATATCTGGGACCGCCAGAGGGAGCAGAAGGATGCCATAAACTGCTGATAAAAGTGGAATGGTTTTTAAAAAAGATGAAAACTGTAGCAAAGTGTCACGCCATCATCTTCCATAGACTGGGAAAATTCTCCAAAGGAAATGTGTGCTTCTCTGATACTATTTTAAGGAGTTTTATGAATTAGAGTCCCACCTTGCTAACACAGGACTTACATGTCAGATAGTGCCAATCAATTATCTTCGGTAGTGTCTTGCCGTAAGAAATTGTCTGTTGTGAAAGGAATGACCTTGTCTTATTAAAATTTGTATTTCAGGAAATCCAAATGAAAAGAACAGCTATTGAAGCATTTAATGAAACCATAAAAATATTTGAAGAACAGTGCCAAACCCAGGAGCGGTACAGCAAAGAATACATAGAAAAGTTTAAACGTGAAGGCAATGAGACAGAAATCCAAAGGTTGGTGACCTGGGAGGGTTTCCTTGCCCCACAATTCTCTTATGCTGTCTAAAGGTGACCTCTATTTCTGTGAAATGACAGGGAGAAAGCATTCTTTACCTGAGGCAAACTGCTGGGAATCAAAACTGAAACCTTGGGGGAACTTGCATGATTCTCCAGGTAATTACAGATGCATCTCTCTTGCCTACAGGATTATGCATAATTATGAAAAGTTAAAGTCTCGAATCAGTGAAATTGTCGACAGCAGGAGGAGATTGGAAGAGGACTTGAAGAAGCAGGCGGCTGAGTATCGTGAGATTGACAAGCGCATGAACAGCATTAAGCCAGACCTCATTCAGCTAAGAAAGACAAGAGACCAATACTTGATGTACGTACTGGAAGTGGGATCCTGCCCGTGCATGGTAGGTAATTGCGAAAATAAAGGATAGGTTCTGAATGCATTTTCTTTTTAAAACTCTTTTCCAGGTGGTTGACTCAGAAAGGTGTTCGGCAGAAGAAGTTGAACGAGTGGCTGGGCAATGAAAACACGGAAGAGTAAGTAGTTAGTACAGATGGGAGGGGGCAGGGCTGTTTTTTTCTTTTGAGGAAAATGCATGACTTGCTTTCTGCAGACCAAGTGAGAAATGGACTATCTTGTAGGAGAAAATACATCAGTCTCATTACCCAGTATTTTAAAAAAAGGAAAGTTTAGCAAAGAAGAACATAGATTTATCCGCACCACCTTCCCACCCCCAGCATCGGCTGGGGAATAAGTGACACTGTCCATAATGAAGCCCCAGAACCATCTGGAAAATCCCAGCATATTTTGGGAACAGTCAGAGGGGAGTTGGGAGGGAGACAACTGCTGTTTAGTATATTTTTAAAGTTCATGTATACCTTTTGTTCCAATTATTTAAAAACTGGCGTTCCTCCTAGTCAGTCAATTTCCTGATCTAAACTGGACAAACAGGATTGTTTAATACCGTCCTCTCTGCCCAGGTAGCTGAGCATAGTTGCCGACTTGAAAACAGGAAGAGTCTCACTTGGTGCTGCTAACTTTGTTCAGGGGGTTGAAGGCTAAACTCGATGAGGAAGCTCAGGCCCGAGGAGCTGGTTGAGGCAGCCCCGTGACCGCCAGCCTGACTCTCTCAGAAGAGAGGCAGGAACTAGGTCGAGGCAATAGGCGGGCTCTGTCTCAGAGGGGCAGGCTAGCGGCCGCCATGTGCACCTCTCAGAAACCTCTTCTTCCTCTTTAGCCAATATTCGCTGGTAGAAGATGATGAGGATTTGCCCCACCATGACGAGAAGACTTGGAATGTTGGAAGCAGCAACCGAAACAAAGCTGAAAACCTGCTGCGGGGGAAGCGGGACGGCACTTTCCTCGTCCGGGAAAGCAGCAAGCAGGGCTGCTACGCCTGCTCGGTGGTGTATGTATCTGCAGCCAGCTACCCGCCTGTGAGGCACCTCAGGGAGCTGTGCCAGCCAGCCTTGGGGGAATGGGCTTGAAAAAGTTCTCCTTTTCAAGCATTACAGTAGTGTAGAAGAGGAAATATGTAAAACCTAATATTGGAACGTCTAAGCAGGAGTATCTGTTCAGAGGGTCTCGTAGAAAGAAACCTGCTCTTCAGGTGGAAAACTGGGGCTCTGGGCGCCAATGCAGCAGCCATCTCATCATAAGAAGTCTTGTTTTTCTTTTTCATCTTTAAAATGGAAACAGCCATACTTGCTGTTTCGGGGCTTCCGTATAGTTAAAAGCATAGGAGATTTCACATGGAAGCACCACCAACAGGTGAAGTCCCCATCAGGGACAGGTTAAAACAGTAAGAGAAAGGGCTCTGCTCATTGTCCCTGCCATCAGTACACCCGAGAGAAGACATTTCCCTCCGAGGGCCGGTTTTCCTTTGTCTATCGTCATAGTCCGGGGAGTCCCACGAAGGGGGAGAGGTTGGATCGCTGACATTATTTCGGAGAACAAGTGGCCTGCCGAAGGGAGAGGCTCTCAGGTATTTCTTAGCCTGTCATCTCCCTCCATGTAGGCAGAGGGCTACTGCTTCAGGAAAGAAGGGAAAAGACCTTGAATGAAGACGAGTCAATAGGAGAATAGAGAGTAGATGGAGAGGTATGTGGACGGCTCCAGAGCCGTCGCAGGGACCAGCCAGTGGCTCACTGAAGCTGGTTACCTCCCCAGGTCACTAGCCACGGGGACAGCCCCACCAGGCCGGAGCTCAGGCAGCACCGGGTGTCCCTTCTCGGGACGCGCTTCCCTCCGCTGACGCAGGCCCGTGTGCTCTCTCCCCCCACGCAGGGTGGACGGCGAGGTCAAGCACTGCGTCATCAACAAGACGGCCACGGGCTACGGCTTCGCCGAGCCCTACAACCTGTACGGCTCCCTCAAGGAGCTGGTCCTGCACTACCAGCACACGTCCCTCGTGCAACACAACGACTCCCTCAACGTCACCCTGGCCTACCCGGTGTACGCGCAGCAGAGGCGGTGAAGGGCCGCCCGGCCTGCTCCTCGCCTTCGGCTCCCCAGGCCTCTGGCAAGCACAGGGCTCCCCTGGGAACTGAGCTGCGGACACCCAGCCGCCCGTCTGCGGATGGGACTCGAGCCTTCGGCCCCACGGCAGGAGGGGAAGACGCCCCGCAGGGCCGCGCGCCGGACAGCCGCCGTTCTCGTCTGGAGTGCTTCGTCAGCCTTCCTTTCTTCCCTCTTTCTGTTTCGGTTTTGGTTTTTTTTTTTTTTTTTTTTTTTTTTTTGGTTTAATTTAAAGCCACAACCACACACAAAGAGAAAAAGAAATGCAAAAATCTCTGCGTGCAGGGACAAAGAGGCCTTTAACCATGGTGCTTGTTCGTGCTTTCAGAAGCTTTACCAGCTCAAGAGTTGGGACCTTGGAGACCGGAGCAGGGACGGGCTGAAGAGCCCTAGCCTGGGGTCGCTCGGTCCAGCCTGGGTGTTGCCATGCACGGTGGCCCCAGACACACTGCACTGTGGATTATTTCATTTTCTAACGAAATGAACCGATATGTAGCAGAAAGGCACTTCCGCTCGCAGGGAACACTTGAGGGAACGTCCGCTCCGTGCGTTCAGAGGAAATTCTGTTGTAGCAGAGTGCCAGAAAGTGTTTTGTTGACATTCTCAAACCAAGAAGACCCACCAACAGAGAAATGGAGCTTCGAAAACAGGACTTCAAAATGACATTTAGTATATAAAATATGTACATACTATTGGATGACTAACTATCAAATAGATGGATTTGTATCAATACCAAATAGCTTCTGTTTTGTTGTGCTGAAGGCTAAATTCACAGTGCTATGCAATTCTTAATTTTCAATGTTATTATCTGTTTTAAATATACCTTCAGAATAAGCTTCCTCTGCCCCAGTTTTTGTTGCTTGAAAATACTGTCCCTGATTTTTTTTTTTTTTTGTTAATATTCATTTTGTTACTCATTTCCTTTTTTTTTTTTTTAAGAAATGTACAGGATGCCAGTTTAAAAAAAATGGCTTCAGAATTAAAACTATGAAATATTTTACAGTCTTTCTTGTACAGAGTACTTGGCTGTTAGCCCAAGGTTAAAAAGTTCATAACAGATTTTTTTTTTTTTGGACTAAATGTTTTGTTGGGCAGTGCCTGATAAGCTTCAAAGCTGCTTTATTCAATAAAAAAAAAAAAAGATATATGAATATGACAAAGTATCGCTGAGTTCAACAATGTTGTTTCAAGACTTAAGATACGGTACCTGGCAATGTTTGTTTCGTAAAGAATTGTGAACTTCTTGAATCTAGGGAAGGGGATGTAGCAAAGGGTTGTACAAGCGGGGTGGGGGCGGGTTGACGAGATGGCATGCACTTTCTCTTTCTTGTGATTATGGAGAAGTGGATCACTGCAAAGTGAAGTCTCTTCCCACTTTGATCTGCTACTTGCTATGCCCTCATGACAATTACAAACCTACTGGAACGCTAGTTCTTAGGAAGGCAGGCAGGGTCTTCAAGCAGTGCTCATCCTTGTTGGAAACACTGATTTCAAAGTATCATTGCTGCATTTAGAAAACCTGTCTCTCTTTAACATCAGACAACCCATTAACAACCAGACAACATCCATTTTTTAAAAAAAGCATGACCTGAAAAAGATATTTTTATCCGGATATCTGCTATTTTCCTAGCTTTCCATTCAACTTAGATCAGAAAGCCTCACATGGTCATCATCGTTCCTGCCCCGATTGTGGGGAGCTTGTTGAAGTCATGGCCATTGTGGGAATCGTAGTAACAGTCCTCATTCACCCAAATAATTGTATGTGTTATACTTCATTGTGGGGAAGAGGGAGGAATTGCTAGAGTATTCTTCCCAACTTAAGGCAAGAGCAAGAGGCCTCTATCCCCCACTTATGTATGTAAAAGCCTTTCAGTTTAGTGGGAACTGTGCCTACACTGGAAGGAATGAAGGGGAGATTAAAATGGAATCTTACAACTTCAGTTCTTCTTGCTCAATATTAGATTCTCCACAGCTTTGTTTCTCTTTCCTTCCAACTACTGGGGTAAGGGGCTTTGTTTTGTTTTTATGTTCCTTTGAAAGGATCAGTCCAGCAGCTGACTTAACTGTAGAATGTTGTTTTTTTTTTTTTCTTTTTTACATGAAGCTACTCATATCAAGAGCAATAGTCAGTCTTACAGCCAGACTGTCAATCCTCAAACTTGACTGTACTGACCTGACCATCTCCCTTTCATCTCCAGACAATTGATGATTCCCCTAGTTGATTCTGTGAGTGTCTGCTTTACAACTAACCTTCCATGTCATACAGAAGCCCAACCATTAGTTAACAGTAGTTTTATCAACTAGGTTTATTGTTTTTTTGATAGCACATCCATGTATATTATTAAGTAACTTTCATTTAATTTCTAAAATATCTGAGATGGAGTATTTTGTGAAAAAGCTACCATTCTGTTCACATTTTTGCTTCAACACTTTGCAAGATGGCATGGTATTAGGCACTTGCCCCATATCTACATCTCATGAGCATAAATGCAGTAGATTTTTCTTTGAACAGCAAAGGCAGAATTCATGATTTCCTATCACAGTGAGTCACACCTTACCTAGGATGCTATGCCTCTGCCTGACGCCTTATTGATCGTGTATAGCACGCCATCACATCTGTCTTTGTAGATGTTTGACCAGCAGGGATCTTTGAGTCCAACCATTCATCTTACAACACTGAGTGGCTTATGAGTATAAATGGATACAGCAGAGGCATTCCTGATACATGCTTGCATCCATGTGTTGATGTTCCCCACCCAGTGTAGCATCCTGAAGGTAAAGGACAGAAGCTGAGCTGCAGAGAGGCTGTGATGGGGCTGTAGAAGGGGGAGCACTGCGACCTGACATTGCACACGAGGGAAAATTCACCACGTGGAAAAGGCAAAAAAAAACTTGTTTTTGTAACACCTGACAACTTCATGGCCCTTGATAAATGTATATATGTATATGTGCATGGACTGTTTCCAGTACACCTTTCGGCCAAAACAGATCCACAGTCGTTAAGTACATAAAGAGACAATGTCTAGTACAATTCTTGTATTTGTGTATGGGGTTTTTTTCTTTGAAGTTGTTTTGTCTTACAAAGGTGAAAATTGTTTGCAAGTGGAGTGAGAAGTTCATAATTCTTTGGCTTTTTTCTGTTGTTTAAGAGTTACTCCTTTTGGGGAGCTGGTCTACGTGACTCACTGAACTTGGAAATCCTTGTTTTCAGCGTGTCAAGTCAAATGTGTTTATGTGAGCTGTCCCTGTGGGGAACCAATTGCTTTGTCATATAGCTGGTTATGAACTAGTAACGTGTTTGGGAAGTCCTACTGATGTTCCTTGTTGGGAGAAAAATTCTGCTGGTTCTAACAACTGTGCTTCTGCTATGCATGGTATCCAAGTCAGTTGGAAAGCAGACCCTGAAATTTGAGTTTAGGGTCATTTAAGAAAGGGGCAGTTTATAGCACAATGCCTCACATGAGACAAAGTTCTGAAATGCCAAATTCTTATTTTTTAGAAATCTAGTTAAATCACTAGTATAAATGACTAGTATGAACAGAATTGGGTTCATTGGAAACACTAACCAACTTAACATTGAGCTTGTCTCCATGAGAGAGCATTAGCTGCCCAGGATGCTGCTATTTAAAAAAAAAAAAAAAGGCAAAATAAAAATAACTCATTTATACGTGTGTATTTTTTAAAGCTACGATCTGTTCAATGTTTTTACAAATCTGTTTCTATGACATTGTTAAAATAACGTTGGTCTTTTGACGAGAGGGAGGATGTCATGGTCAGTTGTAATTTTGCCTTTACAAGGCACCTGGGGTGGGGGGCGGGGGGACTGTGCCTCCTTGACATTTGTTCAAGCTATAGGTTCAATGGAGCTATGTCTTGTTGTTTTAAGTTGCTTTAATGCATTGTATTAGGTCTTCAAACAGAATAAAGGTTGTTTTGAAACTGAAGTCATGGTTTGAAATTTCAACAATCACCAAAGAAATTGTTAAACTCTCTTTGCTCTTTCCATTAATAATGTTGCTTCTCTTTCTGTCATCCCCCACCCATCCCCTGTCACTGTCATTATATTATCTCATTTTTGTCCAGGGAGAAAAACAGGAGTGGTCACATGAATGATGGGTCAGTGTCATTTACATCATTTCACTATATCCTTAATGATGCAAAGAAAGAGCTCTAGGTAATGTCATTCCAAGTCACTGCTCTTGGTCTAAGAAAACGTAATCACTGTCTGTCAATCCCTCCCATTCACTGTCCATCTCCAAAGCTTCAGAATCATTCTCTAAAAACTGGTTGGTGAAAGTAACCTCTCTGTCCTTCTGTTCTACGGGCTGCATATCTGGGCCAGCCACAGCACAGGGGCCCCGTGAGGCACAGCAGCACGCAAAGGTGACGTGGACCTCTCGACAGGAGGCAGCTTCGCTCTAGATCCTGCTTTCACATTATAATGTGCTATAGCATCTAGTCAATATATGTGAACCATTCTTAATCTAAGATAACTTGCCCACTTGTTTTGATTGCTGACTGAAGTTATAATGAGGTCGTTCTGCATGCACCTGGCACTCAACACCTCAGCACTCTGAGGGTCCCAGACAAGAAGGCATGGTCTGGTGACGGCGATGAGAAGGGCACATAGTCATTACAGTCATGGCAACAATGACTAATATACCAAGGATGGCAGTAACTCTTGGATCCATTTCCTGCTCTGTTCTGTCTTACAGAGAACTCTATACTCGGAATCTCTTGACCTCGGGCTTCTAGGTAGTGAATCTCCCTTGTTTCGCTACCTCGGTAGTAGTGCATCTAGGTAGTGAATCTCCCAGCTCCTGCCAGAAAGACTTGGGGATCTGAGCAGCCCTACTATGTCGCTCTCTCCCTCTCTGTTCCTCTGGCAACACTGTCTCTTCCCATTTTTACTGTAACCCAAGGTGTAGTTGCAGCTTTCTATTGTTGCTAAACCTCTGGTTTCTCTCAGAACTCCCACTTTGGTTTCTGAGACAAACCTAGTCTGGTTTCTGTCACCTAAATAGCCAACCCTCTTTATTCAGGCCTTTCTTTAAGACTAGATTCACTTCTTTTTTTCCCGATTGCTCTTTGATTGATAGACCAAGTGATTATTCTCCATTTAAACTATGTGTTATCTGATTTAATAATTCTTTCACAATGATGAATTAGAAGACAATATCTCAGGTGGGGAAACTGAAGTATTGAATCTAGGTGACATCCAAGGTCATGCAGCCATATGACCCACAGAGTCCCCAGGTGGTCTGACTCAAGCTAGATCTCTTCACGACTAAGTGCTGGAAAAGGCACTCGGAAGTTCAGAGAAAAGTTCGCTGGGTGGTCTTCCTGCTGGGGGATCTAACCATATGGCTTCTCAGATGGTGGACAGTGCACAAGCGGCACATAATGAATGGCAGGAAATGGCATGGGTTTGCTTTAGACCAGTGGTTCCTGCAGTGCGGTCCCCAGACCAACAGCATTAGCATCAGGACCCCTTGGAAACCTGTTAGAAGTGCCTACTCAAGGGCCCCACCCCTGACCTATTCACTCAGAGTGAGGCCAAGAAATCAGTTTCAGGAAGTTCTTTGGGTGATTTTAATGTATACTAAAATTTGAGAATCACTACTCAAGATCACCAGATAGTTGAAATAGTGCTTCTTATATTTTAATTAAAAGTCACTACCATTAATGAGTGATATGTAGTCTTACTTTATAATTTATGTTCATAGCATAGACTCTATATAGGGATGATAATAGATCCATTTACAGCTTAGGAGGTCTAGCTAGGTCAGCTCTTTCTTTAACCCAGCTGTGGGAATTTGACCAATTCCATTTACCTGTCTAGACCTCCAATTTACACCCGTGAAGTAAGGTTATGAGAAAGTCCAGAAAGTCTTCAGGACTCTTAGAGCACATGTTGTGTATTGAATGAAACAACCCAGTTGCCCAGTTCTCCACTTAGAATTTTGCCAAAATTATAACCCACAACATGACTGTGACTATAGACCACTAAGATTGTAGTACGGCCCTTTATCTGTAGCAATGGCCAAGAAGCATTAGCAAAATTAGAATCCTCTTATCTTGTTCATATCTTAATGCTACACTTCAGATGAGTCAAAATGGGAAGCCTAGTTCTTGATAATATGATGAAGAATACAGTTGGAGATCGCACTTTGTCCATCTATCTAAACCACAAGAACCTGAGTCAGAGAACTTGGCCTACCAAATCTTCTGGGACATGGTTGGAGTTAGGTAAGTATAGTAAGACTTGACACTCTGTCAACTCAAAAAAAAATTTTCCCCCTCGGACTTGCCCCTTAAAAATGAAAAAGTATCTGTCTAAAAATAAGAATCCTGTAAAGACTTAAATGTACAAGACCTGAAACCATGAAACTCCTAGAAGAAAACAGGGGGAAAGCTCCTTGGTATGGGTCTTGGCTATGATTTTGGATCAGACACAAAGCACAAATGACAAAATCAAAAATAAACAAGACAGACTTGTCTCATGAAACTAAACAGCTTCTGCACAGCAGAAGAAATAATATACAAAATGAAAATACAATGAACAGATGGGAAAAATATTTGCAAATCATGTATTTTATAAGAGGTAAATATCCAACATATATGAAAAATTCATACAACTCAATAGCAGAAAGCCCTACAAATAATCCAAATGAGCAAGAGACTTGAGTAGACATTTTTTAAGGTATTCAAAAGGCCAAAAAGCACATGGGAAAAATGTTCAAATCACTAGTCATTGGGAAATGCAAATGAAAACCACAAGCTGTCCCTAGAACGGCTATTACTGATAAGTGATGTCACCCAAATGGTGACATAGGTGACTCCTGATTTGACTTCCCCTCACACGAGGAACAATTTACACCTATTCATGGACAAGACGCAACTGAGAATCCTAGAACAAGGGAGGGAGGGAAGCATGCCCCTGTGCTTCAGTAGCTGTCTCAATCAGCAGGTTTGCTTATCTGTAGAGCCAAGCCAATGGCCCAGTCTGGCTAAGGATACAGGTCTATCTGATTCAAGTCCCCAGTGGAAGAGTTTTGCCAGCCCTGGAGCCTGGTCTGCTCACACCCAGGCAGAAAAGCTGAGTCACAGGTCTACCAGCTGCAGAACATGGCTCCCATCCCCATATGACAGGAAGGGCTGGTGAGGACATCTGGAAGCTGTGAAACCCAGCAACACTCAAGCTGAGAGGCAGGTGGACAGAGCTGATCACCCTCAGAGTGAATCTAGTGGACCTGTTCAGCCAAGAAACTTGTGGCACACATCTCCATGAGTCAAGACCACAAAGAGCTTTTGTGGCTTTGGAGTAACTTTCCTCAATGTGCCCAGGCAGGGAAACAAATTCATAGCCCTGCTCATTGCTGAAGACAGCCTTCAGCTTGTCTGACCAGGGAATTTAACCAGAGCACACAGGATGCTGCATAGCCCATCCAATAATCCTACTTACATGGAACTTTAACAGAGAGCATACCCTATGCTTTCTCTGTCTCAAGAGCAAAACTGGTGACCAAAATATTCAGTGTACAGTGTTGCCTGATTCAGGTCCAGAACAATGAGTTGTGCAGGCTATGAGTCCCATCCTGCTGTCCTGCCAGGGAAGGGAAGCTAATCCATAGCCCCACTTACTCCTGAGTACATTACTCAGTCCCTGCCATCTAGTAAACATGACCGGAGAATCCATGCAACTGTGAAACCCATCCTAAAGCATCATGTGGGCAAGTAACCAAGCTAGCAGTCTTAGCTAGCTGTTCTCAGGCAGTTTGACCCCACCCCTGACCTCAAAGCTCAAACTGCTGCCTCACCCCAGAATAGACCCTAATAGCAGGCTCAGCCTGCCAAAGGTCATTACCAGGATACCTGTCCAGAAACCCAATCTGAACTAACTGGTGAAGAATTACCTCTATCAAAATGTACACACAATGTCTGGAAGAGGAGGCTACATACTCAAATGCACGGATACCAATGTAAGAAGTCAAGATTCACAAAAAAATAAGGTGAATGTCATACCACCAAAGGAAACTAAGAAAGCCCTAATACCTAACCCTAAAGAAATAGAACTCTGAATTGTCAGAATTTTCAGAATAATTCTCCTAAACAAGTTTAATGAACTATAAGACCACAAACTAAATGAAATTAGGAAAATCACATGACCAAAACATGAACTTCAACAAAGAAACAAACCATTAAAAAAGACATCCTAGAGCTGAAAAAAGTGAGGATTCAATAGAGAGCTTCAAAAATGACTCAATCCCATAGAAGAATCAGTGACTTGGAAGACAATATATTTGAAATTAACCAGTCAGAAAAGCAACAAGACAAAAGAAGAGAAAAAGAGTGAAAAATGCCTACACAACTTATGGGACACAATAAAAAGTAAAAATATTCATATTATGGGAATTCCAGAAGGAGAAGAGAAAGAGAAAGGGACAAAGTCTAACTAAAGCAATGACAACTGAGAAGTTCCAAAACAGAAATAGATGTCCAGATTCAAAAGGCCCAGAAGACCTCAAATAGGTTGAACCAGCACAGGGCTTCACAGAGACACAATATAATTAAATTATCAAAAGACAAAGAGCAGCAAGAGAAAAGAAAGGAATTACATACAAGGGAATCCCTATAAGACAATCAACCATGTTCTCAACAGGAACTTTTCAGGCCAGGAGAAAATGGGATGACATAGTCTACATGAAAATGAAAGTGAAAGTTGCTCAGTCGTGTCCAACTCTTTGCAACCCCATGGACTATACAATGCATGGAATTCTCCAGGCCAGAACACTGGAGTGGGTAGCCATTCCCTTCTCCAGGGGATCTTCCCAACCCAGGTATCAAACCCAGGTCTCCCACATTGCAGGCAGATTCTTTACCACATGAGCTACCAGGGAAGCCCAATATGTAGACTATTTTTCAATAGTCTACATATTGAAAG